TGACCTTATTCTGTGTTCGGCACTTTAATATACGACGTAAAGATAATTTACGGATGTGTTTTTGACTATCAGCTAACATGGCGATTAAAATGTTCTCAGGGTGAGCAAAGTAGCTATTTCGTTGAATAACTGGATCCACTACCTTTTTTATCTTACTTGGTAAATATCGAGATGATTTTATCATATGAAACAGATGTTTTGCTCCAAATTTGCAGGTCGATTGGCACTTAATTAAAAACCAAGTGGTCGCATACACCTTTTAAAACAACATACTTCGCTAAAATTTTTAATTGATTTGACGGATCTTTAGCGCAGCAGCCTATTAGCCGTTGTTAGCCATCTGAAATGTGATATCTTTCCAGGTTGTCTTTCTGCAAGCTGCGACGAAACCTGTCCGCTATTAATTGCTAAGCACATTTCATAAAGATACTTTCGATCTGTGCTTTGTTGTTTACAATTACAAAAGGAAATTCAGCATCTATTTTTTTTTTAAATTAACAACTGTCATCTGCTCACACCGATCTAGAAGTTTTCCGATAATATCTGAGAAGCCTCGCGGATCATTTGTTTTTCGATCTAACTGCTGCATTAAATGACGGGGCGGTAGTTCATTAGCGTGGAACAGGCATATAAACCATTGCACTGGTTTTTCAAGCGAGATTTCTATTTGCCTAATAACACCATTTTTTGAACCAGTATTTACAATGATCCCATCACAACCGACAACCTTTATCTTATTTAAATCTTTAACCAATAAGTCTTTAAGAAACTTTATAATACTATTTTTAATACACTTTGCACTACCTTTTTCTGGAGATACGTGTCCTAAATATTTAGAACCTGGTTCGGCCAATATTACGACGTGTTTTTCAGTAACCATTTTTTTACGTTGAATTGACTCTGTTTTTTCGAAAACTACACAGAAAAAAATCTAACATAGTACCAAGAACAGCGCTGTCATTAAATGCATTAAAATTGAAGCAATCTAAATTGTTATTTACTCAATTAATTACTATTAAACCAGAATAGGGAAATATTTTGCCTAAATGATAAGGATTTTATTAAGTTAAATGTATACATAGTATACATACAATAGTAACGTTATTAAATAAATCAAATTAGTATTTAATGCAATAACATTCCAACATTTTAACAAATATATATCAATATGAATATCAATAGATTTAGGAGCGATAACTTTTGTTATTAATTTAAAAACAGTAAACGATTATAAACCAAGTGCTAACCACCTATTGGTATTATAGGAACTGTTATTCAGGAATACGGATTACAAGATCCCATTGGTTTAATGGCTCACCCATTCATGCTATGCTAGCGTTTTTTCTGTGTAAGGTCCTATCTTTTCGTCCGTCAAAATAAATTCCGTAAATCAAAGGAAGCTCGTCATCTGTCTCTTTTTTAATGAGACCTGTCCTACATTTTCTGCGTTCTCTTCTAATTTTAGATCTGTCTATAATTTTCGTTGTGTCTTCTTTAGTTATTAACCCCAAATCTTTCAAAACAGCATTTGTAATAAGGGATGCTGATCTATCGGATACGCCGACCCTATCACATGCTTCTGCCAGATTTTTAAGGTTTAATCCTGTATAATCCAACTTAAAACCTTTTGGCGATGTTGGGTGCTCTGATTCTAGTGATGTAATGGTTTCCTGATTTTTAGGCATGTTCTCGTCAATTTTTATGTATTTACCTTCAGAGCAAACTTTTTTGCAATCCGGATTGGTTAAAGCACTCTTAAATATACCCTCGTTTTTAGATTTCTTCTGCTCTAATCTTGTTTTTTCTAATGCTTTTCTTTTTATGGTTTTTAAATTTTTCTTCGTAATTTTTACATCTGTACCTCCGATCATCATTTTTCTTGTCGTTCTTTGATCCGATAAAAAGTCTCTTTCACATATTGGAACTTTAACTAAACAGTGGCATTTAGAAAAATCATTACATTTACAGGGTGATATGTCAAAAAGTTTCAAACTGTTCTTCTTTAAAACTTTAATTTTTTCTAGGCATTTTTTATTATAATCCGATTTTTGGTTTCTTTTGAGTGTTTTGAATTTTTCATTATAGTCTTTTATTTTTTGTTTTATTTGTTGAACAGATATTGTAGGGAGAGAAGCCCTTTGCCATATTTTTTTAATATTATTAAAAAGTTTCTTTGATGTATCCAAAACACTTGGGTCTTTGTTATTTTTAAATTTTAAGAACTCTCTCCACCACAAATAGCCTTTTATAACGTCCAAATAGGTGGGAAGCACGTTAGAATTAAGTTCACTAGAAATATAGAATCCTGCACTTTTAGCCGTGTTTTTGGCATTATTTAAATTTAATTTCTTAAATAAACACAAAACTCTCGCTGCCAAACACACTCGAGACCAAACACAGAACAGAAAGGGCACACACTGTTACACTTGGCGCTTGATGGCTAAGACTAGGACTAAGACAACAAGGTTTAATCAGTTGGCGAACGAATTTTAGACAGTCAGGCGCATTACGTTACTACGTGACAAAATTTCCGGTTGGTATATAGAAATTTGCACGTGCAGCGACAATGTACTTTTATCACTTGATGACGTCAGAGGATAAAGAGAGGCGGAAGATAGTAGCATGGTTACAAATAAAGTGAAATATTTGACAGCTAACTAATTACATTAATTATTTTTCTTTTGGCAGTTCAGCTTTTCTCGCAGCGTTGCGTTGTTTATAGTTAATAAATTGGACGTATATTTTTAGACCAGAATGAGACATATTCTTACAGCAGGGATTAAAAAACTGTGATTTTTTTATAGGATATATTTTTTAAGTTAAAAAAACAAAAATAAGAAGGTTTAACCCCTTCTAGGAACCTCAAGGTTAAGTCCAATAGGAGTGAGTTTTTTTTTTTTGGTTTATACTTACCCTGAAAGATATCTATTCCGGTACCAGGCATTCTTAAATTCTAAATTTCCAAAAATCGCTCCACTAACTAAGTTTAGATAATAGTCATTAATTTTATCTAAACTATTGTAAATATAGTCAGTGACATGTACGAGAGCATTGCTCGAACTTAAACCTTTTGTAAAACCAAACTGATCCCCTGACTTTACATTGGAACTGTAAAAAAAATTGCAAAACCTATTATGAATTAATTTCTCAAAGACATTAGCTAAATTTAATATTAAAGAAATAGGACGATAATTATTTGGATCTTCACGATTACCGCTTTTTTTATTATTAATTTATTTGTTTTTATTACTTCGTAGACTGATTTAATTTATTTAAACTTGGCAACAATGTGGTGTATTAGTATTTTTCCAAGCACTGATTTGATCTGCGGTCAAAAATGGAGCAAGGCAATGAATCAACGACCTAGCCTACGAACACTTTTGGCAAAAAATTCGACTTCTTTTAGGTTAAAAGTAACGCTGCCGTTATTTTGTACGTCACTCACGCTTTCTGAACCATTTTAGTGCATATTTTCCCCATAATACAACGCAGACAACATTAGTAATCGAGAAAGTAGACACCAATTTGTACCTGTTTATTGGATAAGGGTCAAATGTAATTTTGAGTGTTGCTTATGAGGCGCCGTTTGTGTCAAAATTAAAAGTGCTAAATAAACTTATTTTGTTTTATAAATAATTAATTATATGCTTTATAAAATTATTATTATTATACTAAAAGACGACGGGTGCATTTATAAATTAAATTTTACTGCAGCCATCTCTATTTGTTTGTAGACACTCGAGTAAACCCGAGTGAACCCGAACGCCCTTCCCCAGATACAATTTTATGACGGACTCTGCTTTTGTTTGACGCAATTTGGGAAAACGATTGAAAATAATAATTTATTATTTTTATTAATTAATTAATTAATTTTTTTATCTACATTTATTTTGATTTTTAGTTTTTAACAAGAATTCTTTATGTTTAAACGTTTTTTATGAGAAAGCACTTTTAGTTAAATGCAAAACAAATAATGATTTACACCTTTAACTAATAATTAACTGTTAAAAGTGATTACCTTACATTTTAAATATCTAAATTTTTAAAAATAAATTAACTTAACCTTTAATTCGACACCTGAGTCCCCGGGACTTGCATGCGAATTTAGTTGGCGCCTAAAGCCTAATTTAAAGATTGCCTTCCTCCTTTCACCCTTCCTCCCGTAAAATATTAACAATACGATCACCGTAGTGCTGTTTTTAGATTTTAACAGTTAATTATTAGTTAAAGGTGTAAATCATTATTTGTTTTGCATAAATTTAACTAAAAGTGATTTCTTATAAAAAACGTTTAAACATAAAGAATTCTTGTCAAAAACTAAAAATCAAAATAAATGTAGATAAAAATAATAATTAATTAATTAATAAAAATAATAAATTATTATTTTCAATGGTTTCCCCAAATTGCGTCAAACAGTTCATAGGAAGCGATCATTCGCCGGGGAGTGTTCTCGTGGCGAATTCTCATGAGAAACTCCCCAGCGAAATTTAGGTATTTTTGAATTGATGGGAAAGTCAGTTCTCATGAGAAGTATAAATACGGCGTTGCCAGTTGTCGGCAATCAACTTTAACCTATCACATTCAGTTTAAATGTCACGTGATGTTTTGTAACCTTGGAAAAATCACATGGCGACTTAGTTGTTGTTTGTTTACGTTTTTGGTGTAGTTTTAGTTTAAAAAAATTTCAAAATTATGGCAGAAAATAACCAAAGATGTGCACCTATCAATAGCACCCAAAAGCAGCTACTTCTAGAATATTTAAAGAACCATCCTAAACTTCAGTCTGGAAATTTTTCGCCTGCCTTTACGAAGAATAAGGCTGCGGAATTGTGGCAAGAAATTACAAATACATTGAACAGTATACCAAATGGTGCAATAAAAGAAAGGAAACAGTGGCGGAAGGTAAATAAATTTTTAAATAAATTTAATTTCGCACACACATGTAACTTCAATATAATTTAACTAGTTGTAGACACAAGGTTTAATTTTGCATTTTTAAGACTTGGCAAGTTCAAAAAAAAAATGTGAAGAGCAAGTTGTGCAAGCACCGACGTAGTGCTACACAGACGGGCGGAGGTCCAGCAGACCCAGCCACATTCACCACAATTGAAAATGAAATACTTAGTCTTATTAAGCCAGCAACTATCGACGGTGATGTTGCGATAGGCGAATCAGAAGTAACAATTGACGTGGTCCAAGCTGAGGTGTCAGGAATATTTCCAAATGAAACGGTTCAGGAAATGGTACGTAAATTAAGCATTTTTTAAAGGAGTTGTTTTACCGGGATATTGTAGGAGCCACCTGCCAGTGTAGCCGAAATTCCATCGCAAATTTCAATGGTATCGGGCAGTACTCCAAGTACCAGTGACTCTGGGGCTCGCAGTAAAGCGGCATCTACTAAAGCGAAACGACTAAGCAAATGTATAGACGTAGGAGCGCAACTAGCAGCCGGATCCGAACGTAAAAATACAGTATTAGAAAACTATTATGAGCGGAAATTAAAGGGCATGAAGTTGGAACGATTGAGACGAGATAAATATGAAAAGCGAAAAATTGAGTTGCTGCGGGAACAAAATATGGTTTTTCATAACATACTACAGGAACTGCAGAATCTTTCCGGAAAATTTGGCCACAAATAATTTACATTGTATTTAACTGTAGCGTGTTAACGACATTTTTGTTTGTAAGTTTTTTTATGTTTTACTTTTTTTATGGTAGAAATGTTGTGTTTTTAGAAGTTTGTTCAAGTTATAAATGCCAAAGAGTTGTTTTGTTTTTGTTTTTTTGTATAATAAAGCCCCAAAATCATGTAAAAGGTTTTTATTACATTAGAATCCAATTAAAACGTATTTAGATTTCTTGAAAACGTGCTAAAATAACGCGTCTTTGCATACGTCTTCCTTCTGCTAAGTCTCTGTTAATTCGACCATGGGCCCTATCGATTGGAGGGTCATCATCACGATCATAAACCAAGTCATTATACATGCCCCAATCGATATTGTCGCCCTCTTCATCATCGGGTTCCGGGATGTTATGTTCTATACACATATTGTGTAAAACGATGCACGCGTTAATTATTTTTGAGGCCTTAGTGGGTAAATAATGTAAAACTCGGTGCTTTAAAAGGCATCTCCACCTATTTTTAAGTACTCCATTACATCTTTCGATGCCACTTCGAATTGATGTGAAGGCATTATTAAACCTTCCTTCGGGGGTATGTGGAAGAACATGGGGTAGGGGTGTTAGCAACCAAGGTCGCAAAGGGTACCCTTCAAAACAATAAATTATTAGGGACTTGGTTTAAAAAACATTAATTTCTAAAATTATCACCACATATTGCTATTACCTGAATCAGCTACAAGAAAAAAAGGATTATTTGGATGGTGCCGATATAGTTGTTCCATGGCTATTGAAACCTGGGATTGCCGCCAAATGTGGGCATCGTGACAACTACCCGGGAAACGCGCATTTACATTCATTATTCGTAGGGACTCATCACAAATCTGCTTAACGAAAAGCGGTAGTATGAATTATTAAAAAACTACGCATTTTATCTTACAAGTTGCACGTTAATCGAGTGGTATTGCTTGCGGTTCACATAGATGTGTTCTGGATGTACTGGATCATTGGTGGGTGGTTTTACGATAGCCACATGTGTACAATCGAGGATTCCAATGATTCCCGGAAAATTATACTTAACAAAAAATCTGAAGCATGGAACAAGTCTCATTATGTTAACCTAAATACTTCAATCTACTTGCTCACCGACGTCTCAGTGCTGTAAATTCTTCAATATTCCGAGCAAATCTGACCCATTCGTGGAAAATTTCTGGTTGACAAAGGGCATTGCAAATTTCATCAATGCATTTGCTGACGGTAGCCTGACTAACAGCAGTAAATATATTAGAACCCGTTATTTCTTGATAACTTCCGTACCCAAAGAAACGTAACGCAATGAGTACCTAAAAGTATCAAAAAACATAATTTGGTTAGTAACTAGCGTCATAAACAATTCACCTTCTTTTCAATAGTAATTGCAGAAGCACGTGTTGCCTCTGCAACAAAAGGAGTCACCATTTCAATAATAATACGTGCTAAATCTTTTGATACACGAAAGTATTTTCTAAACTTATCATTCGATAACAAAAAAGGATCTTCATTGGTCCGCACACGTCTTTGATGCAATTCTGCATCTTCCCAGTTTTGTAATAATAAATTAATAATAAACACTTCCTCTTCATCCATGTCACTATATTCTTTTGCACCGAACAATTAAAAAAAAGCACAAACAACACTGATTTAAGAGGCTAGAAACTTGACATTCCAACCTTACACTTATTAATTCTCACGAGAATTCACCGATTCACCTACTCGGGACCAGTAGAAGTAAATTCCCCCGTTTTCATGAGAAAGGAATTATCACCGAATTTCAAAAATACGCACGTACGCTTTTCGAGAGAACTCCGCCCACTTTCTTGCATGAGAACTGTTCCTATGAACTCAAAAATAGGTCCAGTCCGTCATAAAATTGTATCTGGGAAGGGGCGTTCGGGTTCACTCGGGTTTACTCGAGAGTCTACAAACAAATAGAGATGGCTGCAGTAAAAATTAATTTATAAATGCGCACGTCGTCTTTTATAAAATAATTTTTTTTTATAAAATTATTTTTTTACAAAATAATCTTTTATATAATAATTTTATTTATAAAATTATTTCTTTATAAAATAATTTTTTTATAAAATTATTTTTTTATAAAATATTTTTTTTTTATAAAATTATTTTTTTATAAAATAATTTTTGCGAATCAAAAATAATAATAATTTTATAAAGCATATAATTAATAATTTATAAAACTAAATAAGTTTATTTAGCACTTTTAATTTTGACACAAACGGCGCCTCATAGTTGCTCTCGCACTTATAATTACAAACTGAGCCACACTCAGAAACCCCATTATTAACACGATTCAAATTTTGTTGTAAAATCAGTATTTAATTTAATATTAATATATGTACTACTAAACTGTGTAGAGAAAAATATAACACATTTCTTTCCCTGTATATAAAATGATTTAAAAGAGCAAATTAACATGAAAACAGAGAACGGAAGTTAAGGCCAAATCATCACTGCAAAGCGAGTTATTTATTACTATCATCCGTAAGTTTACTATCTTGCATATTCATGATTTGCACTTACAATTCATCTTAGTTGTCTTGGGCCTTACTGTTAAACGTGAAGATATTATTGTTATAGATGTAAATGCTTTATTTAGCTTATGTCCCAGATATTATTTTATAATTTATGCTTGTTTAAAAATAAATATTATGTTCTTGCTAAAATATTTTTATTGTAGTGGAAATAATTAGCCAAGCAATTATAATAAGCAGGTATTCTTTAATTCGCTATAGTTATTGAAAAAAGTAATATTTAAATACTAATATACACATTATGGTATATTATGTATTAATTCTTATGAACGCCATTTTAGTCACGAATTTTAATTAGGCACGAGCGAGCTTGCGAGCGAGTATTTAATTAAATGAGTGTCTAGAAAAGTTTATAAACGAGTTGCATACTATACTTTTTTACGATAAATACTTATTATTATCTTAAAATGATTTAAATTAAATATTTGTATAGAGCGGCATCTATAAAACAATAGATTCTTGGGAATCTGCCGATGAAAATATTAAATGTTTATGTGTAAATCGAAATGAATTAACAACAGTTTTTCACAGTGAAAGTAAAGAAAATGATTTATGGACAGCCGACGGTTAATACTTCAACCAAAATTAAGTTAAATCTGGTTTACTGCCTCAATTTACTTTTCAAATAGGGTCAGAATTTCTTAAACGGGCCACCTGAATTAGGTCAAAATTAGTTTTTGTTTGTAGATACATTTTTTTGATAGTATTTTACATCACTAACACAAATCCTAAAGGATTTTGTAAAAAAAAAAATTTCAATTGATATATTCATGATATTAAAAGTCAAAGTTTTTAATAATTAAAAAATAAAAAAATTCATTATGGCTGAACTAATTATCCGATTCCAACGATATAACTAGCGTTGGAATCTTGTTTTGACATAGATTCTTTGTTATTTTTTTCAATTGTCCTATTTTCATTTAGGTCGATTTTTTTTTGTTTTTTTTATACCAAATTCGGAAATAATTGCCTTCTGCGCCAGCTATCGACTCGAGAAAAAAAACACATATACTCCAATCATTTCTCGAAATTATGCTGCTGAGAAAAAAAATGGCCCGCAGGTTGACAAAAAGTTATTCGTCCTTTTGTGGCCGCGCGCGGTGTCAGCTCACGCTCCGAACCGTGTACGCTGTACGCGCTTGTGACGCGACGTCTTACGGTGGTCTGGAACCTGCGGGCCATTTTTTTTCTCAGCAGCATAATTTCGAAAAATGATTGGAGTATATGTGTTTTTTTTTTCGAGTCGATAGCTGGCGCAGAAGCCAATTATTTCCGAATTTGTTATAAAAAAAACAAAAAAAAATCGACCTAAATGAAAATTTTACAATTGAAAAAAATAACAAAGAATCTATGTCAAAACAAGATTCCAACGCTAGTTAAATCGTTGGAATCTGATAATTAGTTTAGCCATAATGATTTTTTTTTATTTTTTAATTACTAAAAACTTTTACTTTTAATATCATGAATATGTCAATTGAAATTTTTTTTTTTACAAAATCCTTTAGGATTTGTGTTAGTGATGTAAAATACTATCGAAAAAATGTATCTACAATCAAAAACTAATTTTGATCTAATTCAGGTGGCCCGTTTGAGAAATTCTGACCCAATACTTATTAGCGTTGATAAATTATTTAATACTTTTCTATTTTTGTATCGAGATAATAAAATAATTTTTACATTTAGTATTATTTTACAAGAAGGGCACTTTACGAGTTTTAAAATGGAATAGGACAATAAAATCTTTTTTTTAAACAGTTTAAAAATTTAAATTGGAATAAACTCCAATAAACTATTTTAAATTTGTTTGGAGCTAGCATTATGGATTTTATTATGAAGATTGTTATTTTTTTTCCATAGTACTGGTCTATGTTAAAAATTGGTTAAAAATTAATGCAAAAAACTAAAAAAATATTTTATTAATTTAAAAAAAATTATGCAAAATATGCTTCAAATTAAACTTTTTTATTGACTATTAAAGGGCGGATTTGTGCGATTAAAATTTTTTTTTTTTTTAAATTGTGTGTTCAATAATTGTGACCGATTTAAATAAAGAAATATTATATTAAAGAACATTGTTATTTTTTTCCATATTACTGGTCTATGTTAAAAATTGGTTAAAAATTAATGCAAAAAATTTAAAAAATGTTTTATTTATTTAAAAAAAATTATACAAAATATGCTTCAAATTAAACTTTTTTTATTGACTATTAAAGGGCGCATTTGTGCGATAAATATGTATGTTTTTTTTTAAATTGTGTGTTCAATAATTGTGACCGATTTAAATAAAGAAATATTATATTGAAGAATGGTAAATATCGAAAGAAAATATCGAATAAAACAAAGGTGTCGATGAAAACATCGAACGTCGAAAGCCAAATATCAATTTTTAAACATTAATTAATCGTGCGCATTTAATTATGCTTCTAGATACC